AGGCAAACTACATACATAGTTTCTATCCGGTTTTTCGTTGTTTTTTGGTAAGTGCAGGCGCACCAAAAATCCCTCCACTGGGCTTATATACAACTTATATTATATAGAACTATATAGAGCAAACACTTTGTGTGGAATCTAAGTTAATGCGAGTAGCACGCTTTTTGTGTATGGAAAAAAAACTTCGAAAACGAATAACCAAAAAAATACTTAATGTGATTTCTTGTTGCTTCTTTGAATATTGATATTTTTGTAAGCGCTAAAACGTATACATATACATATATATATATACATAACGAAAGAGAAGGAGATGGCAGGCAACAGAAAGAGACGGCGAGCGAGGACAAGAAAGAGAGAGGAGATATATTTTACACTTGGCTGGGGAAAACAACCGGGGGTTAAAGAAAGTCAGTCGAGTCCAACCAAAATTTTGGCCACACTTTTGATACACATATTCGACAGAAGATCAACTGATCCACCACGACAAAAACAAATAAAAAGAATTAAAAACCCGAAGAGCAAGGCAGGAACTCTCGCTATATTATATTGTATCGTAACCAAGCTAAGCTACCATATATATATATACATATATATATATTTATACCCGTCTGTGTAGAGACACCACCTATAGAGCCCCGAGCATATAGAATATTACGTTACCCACGATTGTAACCACAACATATAGCATACACATGAATACTACGAATATCCTATGTTCCAAGCGAAACCCGCATGAAAGCCCAAAGAAAACAAACAACCGATCAATGTATAATTTACCGAAACCATGTTGATGGAAACAAAATAAAAGAAATTATGTAAAATGTTTACAAGAAAGCAATTCGAAAATTTTATTTTGAAGGGATTTTATAGAACTGTCAATATTTTTGTTTCGAAATCGATTATTATCTGATCTTTTCTCTTCTGGAATCTGGTAAACTGGCTTAAAGGGGTCTAAATGACTTGTATGACAATGTATAATATGTTCTAGCACACTTTAAGCCACCTATATAAGCACCGATCACCTCCATGGAATACTTGATTTATTAATTTGCCAAATTCTACCTTTAAAAAAGGGGCCTGCATTCTTTAAAAATATTTTTGTGAGGTCATTTGCCTGCTTGTAAAAATGCGGCATGCTCCTCCATTGGCCAGCCCCCCTGGAATGCAGCTATGTTAACCTGCGTCCTGTTGCTTTTATTACGAAAATATTTCTGCTGCACAGCTTGATGCCAGTGCCCCCACAAAATAATAAAAAGAAGGAAATTGCTCGGCTGGATTCCAGCTTAGCCAACACTGAAACTCGCTTTGCCTGCACCTGAGACCATAATTGAGGAATATTTCGGTACACACGAATCCACAGTGAGCAGGTTATGTTAAGCACTCTAATGGATCCAGCGGGGGTGGTGCGGGGGTGGTGCAGGGGTGGTTTAGGGTGGTTTAGGGTGGCTCAGGGTGGCGCAGGGCGGAAGGTTGCGGGTTACATGGCCAGGGCGCAAACTCAGTGCGAAGCAACAGCGGGCCACGAATTACACCGAAATGTTCTCATCCAAAAATTTGGGGCAGACTTGTGTGCATAGATGGGGGTTTTTTTTAGAGTGTGGGGGGGGGGGGGTTCCCAGAATTGTGCGGCGCTCAGCAGGGCATTTTGGCATGCTGTCCTGTTGCTTGTGGCTGGATTTTGCGCCACACAGCCTGCGACTTCGACGTCAGCAAACCCCCAACTCACAATCACACACAGGCAAACAGCAGCGGTCGGATTAATAGCGATATTAGAATATTTTCTCAATCGTTTCTCAACTCCACTATCTTAAAAAAAGGAGTTTTAAGGTTATACACCTAAAACAATATATGCCCAGGATTTTAAAAATTTAGTTAAAGCTTAGGAAAGATTTCTCTTATTTAGTAAAATACCTTTATTGACTCTTTAGGGGTAGATAGGACTTTTTTCTTAGTGTAATTAAGAAATTAGGCATTTTTAAAATCTGTGGCTTATAATGCTAATTTGAGTTACATGAGTTCGTCTATAAATAAATAAAACATAGTATTTCTATAAAAGTTTGCCATTTTTTCAAAGATTTTTTAAATGGTCACCTAGGCTTCTAAAATCAGGGATAGAAGTGTCTGAAAGTATGTAGTGAAATACAAAATATTGTCTTTCGGAAAGTTTCCCCGCAGTTTTAAAGTTGAAATATATCGATTCATACTTTATGACACATTTTATAAACCTAATTATAAATGTTGTAATTTTCACCTCCACTGTTAACGTGTGTATGTGTGGGGCGCCTCGAAGTGTGAGCGAGACGGGTGGAGTGCGAAAAGCTTCCAAAACCGAAAAGTAACGGGAAAGGTGCGACGAAAAGGGATGGTTGTGGAGGGGGTGCGGGGATACACGCTGCGTAGTGTCACTGATGATGTTGCTGCTGTAAATGTTGCTGCTGCACATGTTGCTGCTGCTCTTGTTTTTGCTGTTGCCGATGTTGAGGCCACTGTTACATTAGTGTTGGTTGGATTTAGCGGAAACCAGCTAGTTCTAGCGGAAATCGCAATGAATGTGAATGAATGAATCGCAAAAGTATGGCCAAAATACTGACTTTTTTGTGCAAAACAACAAATAATCAAATTTTTGACAAAAAAAACCCTTTTTTATGTCCTTTTTCAGCCGTAACTTGGTCGAAACGCCGCGCACATCTAAAAGACCGACTGTCTTGAGCAGCTAACAACCAGGGCTATCGATCCCCACCACTTTTTGGGAAATTTATTTTTTGATCAATTTTGCAATTTTTTGTAAGGGGTTGTATTATCTTTTTTTTTTCGAAAAATGTTCAAAAATTAAATTTTTCAGATTTAAATGCCAATCGATTGGGAATTTAATTACGACCACAACGAGGTATCACATTCCTTAATCTGACTTCATTTCGCAATTTGACGACCAAAATACTGAATTTTTTTGTGCAGAAATAGGGAGTAATATTTTTTGACAAAAAATTCGATATTTTTAAGCCGTTTTTAAGTCGTAATTTAGTCAAATCGAGGCGCAAAACAAAAAGACCGCCTGTTATGAGCAGCTAACAACCAAGGCTATCGATTCCTATCACTTTTCGGGAAACTTATTTTTTGATTAATTTTCGAATTTTTGTAAGGGGTTGTATCATCTTTTTTTTCGAAAAATTTTCAAAAATTAAAGTTTAATGATTTAAATGCTAATCGATTGGGAATTTAATTACGAGCTCAACGAGGTATCACATTCCATATTCTGACTTCATTTCGCAATTTGTCGACCAAAATACTGATTTTTTTTGCTCAAAAATAGGAAGTGTTATTATTTGGCGAAAAATACGTTATTTTTAAGCCGTTTTTAGGTCGTATTTTAGTCAAATCGAGTCTCATAACAAAAAAAACGCCTGTTATGAGCAGCTTTCAACCAAGGCTATCGATCCCTATCACTTTTCGGGAAATTTATTTTTTTACCCATTTTCGCATTTTTTGTATCATCTAATTTTTTCGAAAATTTTTCAAAAATTAAAGTTTTTAGATTTAAATGCCAATCGATTGGGAATTTAATTACGAGCTCAACGAGGTAAAACATTCCTTAATCTGACTTCTTTTCGCAATTTGTCGACCAAAATACTGATTTTTTTTGCTCAAAACTAGGGAGTATTATTTTTTGGCGAAAAATACGTTATTTTTAGCCGTTTTTAGGTCGTATTTTAGTCAAATCGAGGCGCAAAAAGACCGACTGTTATGAGCAGCTAACAACCAAGGCTATCGATCCCTATCACTTTTCGGGAAATTTATTTTTTGACAAATTTTGCATTTTTTGTAAGGGGTCCTTTTTTGCGAAAATTGATCAAATAATTCGTATAACCAAAATACCTTATTTGCTCGTCGAGCAAATTTTAAGGTTTCTTGATTTCTTAATTTCAGATACCAGGTGAACATAAACGTTTAGTAGGTGTAAAACGATCAGCTGATTAGCTTAATTCAAATTTACTTAAAGATGCCCTAGTGATTTCTTCCTTTTGGCACGGCCTAAGCAAATACATAGGACGTAACTGTTACTTCGTGACAAGCTCGTTACAAGATCGTGACAAGCTCGTGACAAGCTAATGACACGGCCATGGTTGCTCATCTCTGGTCTGCGTTTGGCCCACAGCTAACGGTTCTTTCCCATGCAGATCAATTCCTATTGGTCAGTGGGGGAAGGGGAAATATGTAAACGGCCGCCATCTTGAAAATTAACAGCTGTTTAAGTTCACTTTTGGCTACCAGCTGCCACTTGCTATGATTTCTGTTTGCCTGGTGTCTGACTGAAAAAATGTTACGAAGCCCTTCATTTTTTTGACGAAAAAAAAGTTTATTTTAAGCCGTTTTTCAGTCGTAATTTAGTCAAATCTAGGCGCACAACAAACTGTTTTGAGCAGCTTACAATCTAGGCTAACGATCCTTATCACTTTAAGGGAAACTTATTTTTGGACTAATTTTCGTATTTTTTATAAGGGGTTACATCATTCAATTTTGCGAAAAGTGGCCAAAATTAAAGTTTTTAGATTTAAATGCCAATCGATTAGAAATTTATTTACGAGCTCAACGAGGTATGACATTCCTTATTCCGACTTTAATTCGCTAAATGATTGCTAAAATACCAATTTTTTGGTTGAAAATTATGTAAAAGGATTTTAGACAAAGCACCCATTTTTCTGGCGGTTTTTCCATCGTAACTTGGTCAAATCGAGGCGCACAGGTGAAAGACCGACTGTTTAAAGTATCCTACAAACTCGGCTAACGATTGCCAATCGGTAGGAAATAATTGTTTCCGACCTTTATTTATATAAAATTAGTTTGTAATTGAAATCTATCTTTTTTAAAGGTCCTTCTGCAGTTGTTGCTGCTGCCGTCCGCACTAATGTTGCCCGAGTTGCTCGACCTCATGTTGCCGCCGTCGATGTTGCTGGCCGGGCTGCCGACTTCGGCTTTCATTTCGATTTCAATTTGGGTTTCCGCTTCAGTTTCAGTTTCGCTGCGGAGTTGGTCGCGTTCACACGACGCGCTCTGCCTGGGAAAACCGCCTGGAAAAACCTCCGAGTTGCTGTTTGTTTCTTTCTTTTTGTTGTTGTTGGCCCTCTAGCTTCTGGGTTTTTTGGCCTGGCGGCCCCGCCAGTTCAGTTGGTCAGTGAGTCAGTGTGCGCCAGTTGAAGTCTCGTCCTCCGATGGGCGAGCGGGTGGAGAAAGCCTTTGCCCCACCCATCCTGCGGCGGCAGCAGCCAAATAATTTATAAGGGACAGCAACGGCAACTAGTTGGGCAGGAAAAAAGGAAATATACAACAGAAAATAGCAGGAAAAGCGAGAGGGGAAAAGCGCGGAGGAAAGCGCACGCTGCCACAGGCGACACTTTGCTCTCTGCTGGCGTCGTCGGCATACGCAAAACAAATACAAATTTCGAAATACATTTTACGCGCGCGTGAAGAGGAACGGAATTACGGCGAAAAGCTTTGGGCAATCTCCGCAAGCCCCAAACACACGCCCACGCGCAGCCAGAAAACGCTTCGAAATGGTGCAAACCAGTGCAGGTAATAAAACTGATCGCCCCCAAAAAGAAAACACCAAACTGTCGCCATATCAGGGTGACAAAAGTTTAATATACTTTTTGTACTTTAAAATCCTCTAGATGTATAACTGTATCTTTTCCTCACAATACCTTATAATATATACCTTTGAGGAACCTTAAAATTAAAAAATTCAATTTTATTCAACGCCCAGTGAGCTTAAGTACTGTTTTTCATCCACTAAAGTGCACAACAATCTTATGAGACTTGAAAACCTTAGCATTGTACTTTAAAAACTTAAAAATTCTAAAGATATTTTACTTTTTATCTTTCAACAAAATACATTATGTTTTATAAAGCTCTAGGAACCTTAAAATTTAAAAAATAACACTATCCATTAGGATAAAGTACTGTTTTTCACCCAATAAAGTGCCATTAAAATTGTATGTTATTTAAAGGACATTAGCAAAAAACCAAAAAAAAGGAATGTAAATTTTAATACATTTTTAGATTACTTGTCTATCCTTTTTTTCTAGTAGCCAAAGAAAATTTTAACAAAGGGCAACGGGGCGTATGAGTAATACGTATTAAAACGCCATTATTGCCGTTGGTTTTACCTTAACTCAAACACGCAGTTTTTATTTATTGCGAATGGTAAACAATGTCTGCAAAGCTGAATTAATAGAAAAACAAAAATATGTAAATTACAAATCAAAAATTCTCAGGTATTGATATTTAAATTAAAAGGGAATTAATTACTATTTACAATATTCATATTGAAAGCACACTAAAATCCTAAGATTTTCAATTCGTTGGCATTACTAACAATATTTGTGTGATATTATAAAACAATGGAAGGTATAAATTAAAAGGGAATTAATTACTATTTACAATATTCATATTGAAAGCACACTAAAATCCTAAGATTTTCAATTCGTTGGCATTACTAACAATATTTGTGTGATATTATAAAACAATGGAAGGTATAAGATACAATGGATAAGATACACCCTGGTGTGTAAGATACACACGTGTCGGCGAAATAATTCCTTCATTCGGGCATCGCTATTCACATTTTATAATTTTGCAAGAATTTCGTGACTCCGCCCGCTCGCAGCGGCTAAAGCGATGAAAGCTCCATGCAAATATATGTGCTGAATATAAATACATATAATTCATTCAGGTGTGCGGGTGGTTTTGTCAGGTGGGTGCTGGGTGGTGTCTTATGGGTGGTGTTCTTGTGGGTTTATGGCCGTGTGGGTGCTGCATTTCCCGGTAATCCTAATCCCTGGCAATCAATGCAACTGCCTTAACTTCCCAGTCACACACAGTCAAGGACACAAATATGTATGTATGCCAGGCAATTTACTCTCGGGGCCCGCCTTTCTTTGCACAATTTATCAGTGTGCCATTGGGATAAGGATAAGCCCCCTTTTCACTGGACGGAATGCCAGTGGTGGAGAGCACTCGTGTTTCATGCCACTGAAAGTGCTTTTAATTTGATTAAAGCAACAGGTAAACTCGCTTAATTGCTTCTATAATTTTATTTAATATTTTAATTCGATTTATTCACCTGTTCCGTGGCCTTAACTCTTGGCCTTTGGCTCAAGCTCCCTCTTTTTTGCCGAAGCACTTGCTTCAATTAATCAAATAATTTCATGTTTTTATTTCATTAAATACGAGAAGTGCGTGGATTTATAGCTCTCGTTTTTAATTGAACAGACAGATTTGAGCACATCCATTTTTTAAACTTAAGACATCTTAATTGTACCGTGCTTAATACATAATATAAATTATATATAATATAAGAATACGAAAAACATTTGCTATATTATTTTGAATTGCTAGTTCCATGGCACGATCTATGTAACCAATGTCGCCTGTTTAATGGCATGATGTTAACATTCCATCGGTTTCTCCTGTGCCAAACAGGACGGGCATCCCGTGGTTCTACTCTCGGGATTCTCTGGACCGTAGTCCAATGTCCCTGGTGCAGCGGGGGTTCCTCCAACTGGGAAACTACGTAACTGGGAAGCTCGCTGATGGGCACGGGCGTAAAACTTTTATGAATGAACCTCGATTGGCCGCATCGGAAGGCGGCAATTCGGAATGCCGTAGTCAAGGCGGGGGCGTTTGTTTATGTTTTAGCTGCTCGGCCTTGCCACTCGCACAACCACCCTAACCACCATGACCACCCTAACCACCATAGCCACGCCACACCACCCACTTGGCGATATTCCCGATGACGTGGCCATCGCCTGACAATGTTGATGATGATGTGGCCATCATCAATTGCTCAATTATGGCATTAGCTAAAAGCCAAGAGCCGGGAGCTGTGAGCTGTGGACTCAAGTCGGCCTCGATGAGTTTAACTTGGCTGAGTTCTGGCTCAATGTCACTGATCAGAGTGAGTCGCAGTCTTTATGCACACGTCCATTAAAGTTGGTGCAACTCCTTTCCTTGTGAAAGAAAGATATTATTTTTACTTCGAAACATAAAAAAATATGCCTGAAAGAGTGCTTTAAAAAATAGAGAGATGTGCCTTGACATTTACCATCCCTCTTTCGAACTAAAAATGTATCATAGCATACTTTTTGGCACTTCTTCTTTAATATGAAAGCCAAATTTAAGTTAAAGTGTCTAAAAGTATGCTGCAGAAAAGGTATTTAGCGGTATTGTAATATTGTAATATATTGCAGCATACTTTCTGACACCTCTTACAGAGACTTCCAACTTCTTCAGATTTCTGTGTTTATAGAAAGGAATATAAACAAATAAGAAATCGAATATACATCTTTTTGTGTGTATATCTCCATATATTATATGGAAATTATATATGCTAAATAAGTATTTACTGCGCTGAAAGCTTCTCATTACTCTTTCAACTAGTGCAAATTTGGTGTAATACCAGTGGCATATGCGATTTTAAAAAAGGCTGTTTATGGGGCAGGTCGACCCCCAAAGTACATACGACCGTGCACTTAACGCCCCGTTGACAGTAAAAGTAACAGAGGTCAAATGGAAAGCCCTGCGTGCATGTGTGTGTGCCAGTGCTTATGCGTCTGTGTGGGGCGCACGTGTGTGCAAAAGAACTGGTCACAAAGTGTTGCATACTTCTCGTCGATTTCAGGGGTATGCTGGCACCAAAGGATATTTAATTCAAAAATATAAAAATATTATTATTTATTAATTTGGAGTTGATAAGCCATTCAGAAGGGCTTTTTTTATTTCAAAATAATCAATACTTACCCTTCGATTTTCAATTTTTGAGTTACGCATCAACCTATTTTTAAACATACATGCAGAGGGTATTTTTGGTGCCGTATTTACAGCATTGTTGTTTCTGGGCACGTCCTTCTGTCTTCCCTGACAAAGCCATCAAAGTGTGGGCTTACTGTCAGCGACAGAGTCGTTATCCTGACGTGCGTGTGTCTGCATGTCCTGCGTCCTGTCAGTGCCATTAATATTAAAGCCCTAGCCAGGGCTCCTTCAAAATTAAAAATCCACTGTCTGGTCATCATTAATTTCATGTCAGACCGTGTGCTCTACTCCCCTTTTGATAGCCCTTTTCTAGACCCTCTCGATATACACCAGTTGTCCACAAAGTTGGTCCTCTTCCAAGGACTTCAAACGGCCCGGGGAGGCAGGGGGTGAGTCCCAAGCAAATAGCCCAAGTTCTTCAAAGGGAGGCATTCCCAAATGTCAATCAAGTGCCTTGAAAAGAAATCGCATTGTTTGGCAATTCTTTGTTGAACTGATAGTTGGATGGACAGCTGAATGGCAGCAGATCGAAATTCGTTTGAAAAATGTCAAAGCTTATATTGCAGCCAGATATCCGAAGGAACCCTTTAAAGAGATATAAGGAATTTCTTTTCCTTAAGTAAGCTATGGAGTTACTTTAGCCAGTCTTGAACAAAATATACATTATATATAAATAATAGTTAAATATTGTAGCCAGTCTAAAAATCAAACAAGATAGAATTTAAAAATCTTATTAAAAACAATAAAAAACAATTAAAGAGCTTGGTTTTGTAAACTTTTATATAACTATAATAAAATTAAAAAAAACCTATTTAAACAATACAATCTAAAATTCAAAACTCATATTTAAAACAATAAATGAATTACTTATGTTTTTTATGTATTCCCTTAATAATACATACGTAGTCAGAAAGAGAAAAGAATGTAGAATTTACTAAAAAATTCCGTAACCACTCTTCAAGTACTCTCAAATTCATAGGGTCAAACATTCATTATTCAGTGGTCATTTTGATGAGTTTTAAGGGTCCCTTAGACTTTGAGTTTTGGGTAGAAACCGTTGTTGGAATATTTAATTAATTAAAATCAGAACAGTCGTGGGTGAAACAGAAATGGTGGCTACTTTTCGGGGCAGCCATTGCGATGGAATCGTGTTTAATCAGGCGCCAAAAGTCGTGGGTTGTGTGGCATGAAAGGTCAGTGCATTCATCATGCGTCACAGTTGCGGTACACGGTGCATGCAGCACTGCGCCCATGCCCTCTGACCTTTGCTGGCCCTGCACTTGATGCATTCGAAATGGCAAATGGAAACTGGAAAATGCGAAGTGCAACTGTTTCTACTCGGCCTAATTAGGCATTCCGGTGGGCGTGCTTGTTTGCCAGTGTTTTCCCATTTCCCATTTCCCATTTACCATTTCCCTGCTCTTCCTGCTTCCTATTTCAATGCTTTCCTGCTAGCTCGAGCACAAATTGCAAGTGCCCTCCTCTGAGATTCCTGCTCGTTCGTCCGGCGTAAGCTGCTTAAATGCCCCGTGCAATCGTGCAATCGTGCAATATTTGCTTTGCATAGAGACTTGACTGCAGAAACGCCCACGGCGATGGAAAAACAGCAAGTTTTCCCCGCTCTGCCCAACAGCAGGAGAATTAGCGCGAAGTTCAGAGGTCAAATGAGGGGGCGTGGGCAGCGGGGGCGTGGTGCTTCAACGCAGCAAATCCAACGCATATAATTTTAATTGCAAAGACCAACAAATTGCATTTGCCAGCGG